CTCACCACGCTAATTTTGTGACGTGGTGCCTGGGGTGGCTTCCCCATTACAGCGGCATGTCTGAGAATTAAGAAGCTGCAAGTAGACTTCTGCTCTCTGCAAAGCTGGGATCATCTACCGTCTGCCCCTCTGCAGAAAACAAGTTTGCTTGTCCCTGTTCTGATTAACTTGACTTTGGAAGATCTCTGAACAAATAGCAGGCTCAACTTCTAACCCAGGAAAAGACGTCATCAACATGAAACATTGGAATGTTTTGATGGCTAATCCCCTCTCAGCAAAAACAAACTACGGGCAAACCAAACAACAGGGGGTCCTCTACTCATAGGCATTTAATCAGCCGCAGCTAGAACCAGAGGAGAATGACTCTTTATTTTCCTCTCTGACACATCCTGGTACTACTCCCCATCCATTCACCACGTCCATCTTCTTATGCCAGGCACATCTCCTACAGTCCGCTAAGGGACAAGAAGCCTTTGACAATTCAACACTGAGTGACGGCAGACACCGTCAGGTCATCCTGCCAGACGCACGCCAAAGCATCTAGCATCAAGTATCTGTTCAGAGCGAGCCTTGCTTTGATATGAAATACTAAGTCAACTATTCTGGGAGAAAAAATTTGTTTGAACAAATGTTTCTGCAGTTTATAATCTGGCAAACATTGGGCAAAGTCCAAATGATCAGGGCAAATTACATTTTCTAAGAAAGATTTAGACGTTGTTTACACTTCCTTTATAACCTTGGTAAATGAGTTAGCAATCATTTACCAAGCATTTTCCAGACAATGAGCACTCTACTGTAGCACGGGATGTCTTTAATAACCTATGGCAGAGATGGAGCTGCATTCCTGGAAACTTTGTAGCCCCCACATCCTCAAACCCTCTCTGCAGAGTCTGTCTGCGACAATAATTTTCAAACACTCTCTTTGAAAAACCCTCTAAGAAATACCAATAGACAAACTTTTTGTTAATCTGGCAATATACTTGTATTACTTAACCTTAATTAATAATATTTTTTGAAGTCCTCTATCAATGGCCTTATTAAAACTAAGACAAAAACATATTTACTATGTTTTAAAAAAAGCCATTAAGGTTTTGAAATAGTGCTTTCTGACCGATGTGTTTCTTGTTCTTTAAAAAAATTTCCAACATGTATGCCTTGTAAAATATTTTAAACTC